CTGGGCGCTCCAGAGGTTTTGGGTCATAGTTTTTTTGTTATTTATTATCTGGGTGTTGTGCACTTGTATATTAGTTTCTCTCTTTTCAGAAGTTACTCTTTGAGTCTTTTCTTTAACTGTTCCAAGCAAAAAGTGGGATCATGTGACCAGATAGGTGGGTTATTAATCAGACTGAAAGCTTCAGTCTAGACTCACTTCCTTTCAATTTTGTTAGCTAACCTGGGATTTTCAGCAAAAATTGTTATAAATGTATTGATTTTAGATTGCATTTCCTACTGCAAATTGTAACCAAAATTTAGACTTTATGTTTTCATGTTTATAGCCCGTCTTTATACCTCAGCATCCCCTCTTCTGAGTTCTTAAATCTTTAGGTTTCATTTAGGTATTTTCCCAGTCCTTTACATGCCTGAGAATTCCTTTCTGTTTAACTTGCAACATCTGTAAAATGGGGTTAAGTACAATAATAATACATTAAGCCCTGGCTTCTGTGGGTCCATGAACTGACTGCCAGCCTGCAGACCGAAAGGTCACTGGTTCGGTTCCCAGAGAGGTCACGTGCCTGGGTCGTGAGCCGTTCCCCTATTTGGGGGCGTGTGAGGCAACTGGTCAGTGTTTTTCTCCCTCTCTTTCTCCTTCCCTTCCCATCTCTCTAAAAATAAATAAATAAAACCTTTAACATATAATAATACATTAAAAGTGCTTAGTAAAGTATACAGCATGTAGGAGGTATTCAATAGCTATCAGCTACTTTATTATTATCATCATAATTATCACTGTGGTTCACAATAAAACACAGCTTGACTGGGTTTTTAATACCTTTTACTCTCAACCGTATAAACATTGTTCCATTGTTGTGTTATTAAGCTGATTTTTCTTATTTTTGTTTTTATTTTCTGGCTGTGGCATGTGGGATTTTTTTCTTTGACTTCGTAATTCAGATTTTCTCTCTGGCTTGTGTTTCAGTGTGAGTCTCTAGTGTTTTTTCCCTGAACCCGTCAATGTGCATACTGAGCTTTGACTGCTTACTTGTTTTCAAACCAGTCAAGTTTCCTTTCATTGTAAGGTTGTGGCGTCTATCCCAATGGCCCTTGTCTCTTCCTCTGGAGGACCATCATGTTAGGTCAGAGGACAGTCCTCCAACCTGCCAGCTGCTGGTCACGCTTCTCTTTTTCCTCTTGCTGTGAGTTCTGGAGGAGCTCTGAGTTGCTCACCCAGGTCACTGGTGTGACCTGTCCTTAGGATCCTGCTCCTTACTGCTCCTGACTCTTCCCTTCTGTGTTTGCTTTTCTTTATTTCGTCATTTCACTTTCTCTCCATGTTTTTGTTTTTCGTCACCACCGATGTTTTTCTCCTTTTGTGACTTCTTGCTTTTGTCTTAAAGCAACCATGTCTTTTCAAACCCTACTGAGGTTACCAAGCAGTTTTCTTTCAAAAAACAAAACTATCTGTTTCTTCCAAAAGTTCATTTTTAAATGTCGGATCTTCCTCAGAGTCTCAGGTTGCCTTTCCCTTGTTCCACATTTTTTTTTCGTAGGCCCCGTATTGGGCCTATACTAGTTTGTTTGGCTAAATCCATGCTGGAACAAGGAAACTATATTCAAATAGTGTCTGCCTGTGGACAGACTCTACTACAGACCCGTGTGTCCACCTTCTGTCTGCTTGGACGCTCTCAGGATTCTCTGTCGTAATTCTCCGGAGGGCAAAATGGGGTGCTCTGCCGCCAATCCAGTGGCTTGCATCCCTTCACTAGGTTAGCATTGGTGGCCTGAGATAGTTTTCTCCTACTGCGTGCCTTTAGCACTTTACTTTTTATTTCCTTCATTCAACAAATGCTCCTTGAGTGCTGCCCATGCCTGGCCAGAAAACACTCTGTATCCTGGGCTGCAGTGGTGGGTAAGACAAGCAAGTTCCTGCTGTCACAGAACTTACATCCTCATTCTTGTAAGGATGCAATACACGGTGAGCCATTCCTGCTGGCTCCACTGCTTGTGCAGTTGCTTTCTGAAAGCTGTTTTCATGACTGTAGAGAGAAAGAAAGAATCAGGCTGATGACAAGAAAAGGGTCAGTACCAATCTAGCTACAGTGGAGGGATGTCTGCCCTCGTCTCCAGCTGGGGTAGGTTTCTGGCAATGGGGGCATTTGCTCCGACTATGTGCTGCAAGAAGCTCAAACAATTGCTCAGTCTAGTCCAGTTTTATTGATCTTCACTGTTCATGAAAAGTCTTCTCAAATTCTGTGCTTAGTTTTAAATCTTGATGCTAGTTTTCACTTGTTTATCTTCCCTCTGTCCTCATGGATATTCCAGGTTAAAAAGTTCAGACAGATTATTTTGGACGATAGCACTGATATCATTTCAAACCTGGAATGTTGATTCATCATTGCTGAGTTTGGGAGTAAGTGTGGGCCATGTAACACCAGTGTCTAGTAGGAAGGCAGAGATGCAGTCCTAAGCCTGCAGAGAGATGGCAGAGCTGGAGACAAAGCCCTAGAAATCAGAAAAGAAGGGACATGCGGACCCTCACTGGAAAATTGATAAGCTCTCCAATGATGGAAGAAAACTGGAGGGCCAGACTATGTTTTTAGAAATATCAAGAAATGTGGAAGTTTACATATAAATAAATATTCCATCAGGTCTTGATTATCCACTTTGTTAAATATGCATAATGACCTGAGCTTTTCCCCCCACTCACAAACTGCCCCTATTTCTGACCACGATGGAGGGAAGTTGGAGTCAGAGTCAGGTAATGACCTCATGTCTAGTTCCGTAGGGAGTGCGTCTTGAGCCCCTTTCTGAAATGCAATGCATGTAGTCCTTTTTAGAATTCTGTTCTCTGCATAGCTGCCACTATTTGAAAGCTTGCCAAATTTCAGGTGCTGTGCTAAGCGCTTGACATGCATTGTCTCATTTAATCTCCACAGCAGTAGTATGGGAAAATGTTATTACTCCCAATTCACAGTAAAAAATTGCCTATGTAGAAACCCTGTGATTTACTCAGAGTTACATGAGACAAGAGTGGCAGAGTCAGGATTTGGTGCAAGCCTGATCAAAAGCCTGTTATCGTGAGTGAGTGCTCTAATGCATCTCACACATGAGTGCATGCACGCATGCACATGAGCACACACACATGCACACACGGCATCTGCATGAGTATATGAGGAACTATACGAAAACACAGGTAATGTTCAGGAATTTTTTTTTAAATAAATAAAATGAGCCCTGGCTGGTGTGGCTTGGAGGATTGAGTGCCAGCCTGTGAGCCAGAGGGTCGCCAGTTCAATTCCCAGTCAGGGCACATGCCTGGGTTACAGGCCAGGTCCCCAGTAGGGGGTGCTCGAGAGGCAACCACACGTTGATGTTTTTCTCCCTCTCTCTTCCTCCCTTGCCCTCTGTCTAAAATAAATAAATTAATAAAATCTTTAAAAATGAAAATAAAATAAATAAAATGAATTCTATTTGACTTTCATGCAAAAGAAATGTCAGATTTGCTTTGAAACCTATTCCTTATTCTGATACTCAAAACATTTATCAGTTCTTCTTTTGGGAATATATTCAGAATTATTTTATCAAACAAATATTAATTTCATTAGTTGACAGTCATGCTTTGTTTCTGACCAGAAAGTAGGGAAACATTTATTCACCAGATTTGTCTCCAGACAATTTTCAGTTATTGTAAAAGATCATTTTTTGTTCACTCTAATCAAAATTTCCTGTGCACAAAATAATGCAAGTTCCTTATCATTCTGTAACTATAGTTCAGGAACAGTCTTGTGCGTCTATTAAAATTCTCTTAACGAACACCACATAGAAACATAGGAAATGCCTTTTATGTTAACATAAAATGTGGTATGCATATTAAAACTGCAGTTATATAAAAGTATGCATTTACTATATAGAGACAATAACAAGGACTGGAAAGTATTTGCAGAAATAAAAATGATTTAATTTATGAGGGATATTTCAAAAATTTTCAAAATGTTCTCAAGTATTTTCTTGTCTTAAAATAGCTGGTCTTCACGCCAGTCAGAAGTGCCTTCACTGTCTCATGTTCTAGACGGATATGTTCAATGGACCAGTGGCCTGTGGACAGCAGTTCATGGGGAAAATCAGAGATCTTTACCAGTTTTTTAAGAATCATTAATTAACCCCTGGGCGAGGAAGTTCTCCTCTCTGTAACAAAGCACCGTAGTTTTCTAGCAACTTATCTTTGCTGTAGCTGTTTTTCTCTTAAAATTTTTAATTATTTAAATACTCAAGTTCACTTTAAGGGTGCTGTTTTCACAGGGGGGATGTCAAACTTCCTTGGTCAAGAAACTGCAGCATTTAATTAACTGTATTATCAAATGTAAACTTCCCAGCCAGCATTAAAGAGTTAAAATCCTGTCCTGGCCCTGTAACTCAGTTGGTTGGAGCTTTGTCCTGATATGGCAAGGTTGCAGGTTTGATCCCCAGTCAGGGCACATACAAGAATCAACCAATGAATGCATAAATAAGTGGAACAACAAATCAATGTTTCTCTCTCCCCTGCCCCAACCCTTTCTCTCTCTCTTTCTCTAAAATCGATAAATAAAAATCACCCATCTCCTTTCAGTATAGAGTTTTCTCCATTAAGACTTCTGCATAATGGTTAATTCTTCCCTTGTTTGACATAGCTCTCCAGGAGTCAACATTGCAAACTTTACATATAGAATTAAAATAATTATAAATGAAGTCCCTGTATTCTGATAATTTTTTGTTTTTTAAATTTTTTTTAAATTTTAATCGTTGTTCAAGTACAGTTTTCTCCCTTTTACTCCCATTCCAGCCCACCCACCCAACCTCCCCCACTTCCCTCCCATTACCACCCTCCCCCTAGTTTTTGTCCATGTGTCCTTTAAATTTGTTCCTGTAAACCCTTCCCATTCTCCCCTGTGTTCTGATAATTTTAGTCTCACATCATCATTGTATAATAACGTAAAATATTACAGATATAATTCAAGTCTCCTTTGTTCCTTTCCTCAGGCTCATCCCTTCCCCTCCTTCTCTGGAGGCAGCTGTGATCATGAACTTGTGGAAAAGCCCCCAGTATGTTCTTTAACTTATATGTGCATTGGTAAACAATGTATAGAATTGTCACATGTACTTTAAGATTTACATTACTCTCTTCTGCAACTTGCTTTTTTTCATTTGACACTGTTTTTGAGATCCCTCTACATTGTACTGGTAGATTTTGTTCGTTTAAGTCCCCTGCAGCATATTAATTGTCCTGCGATTGCAGTGTACTTGAAAACAAAAGAGCATATTTCCTTTTTTAAAATTTATCTTGGGCCCTGGCTGGCGTAGCTCAGTGAATTGAGCTCGGGCTGCGAACCAAAGCATCGCAGGTTCGATTCCCAGTCAGGGCACATACCTGGGTTGCAGGCCACAGCCCCCAGCAACTGCACATTGATGTTTCTCTCTCTCTCTCTTTCTCCCTCCCTTCCCTCTCTAAAAAGAAATAAATAAAATCTTTAAAAAAATTTATTTTGGAAAGAGAAAGACATTGATTTGTCTTTCCACTTATTTATGATTAATTAATTGATTCTTGTATGTGCTGTGACCAGGGATTGAACCCGCAATCTTGGCAGATTGGGATGACGCTCCCACCAACTGAACTACCCGGCCAGGACTGACAGCATAATTCAAAAAGATCTTGAGTTACACCCTGTGTGACGGGGAGGAAAACTCTCGCCCAAAGAGCTGTCTGCCATGTTTGATTTGAGGAGTTGGGTGGAGTGTCTTTCCAGTGTGAGCACAAGCTCTGAAGTACAAAGCATCTGGTCAAAGCCAGGATGACATGTGCTGAGTGGGTGAGGGAAGGAGGCGTGGTTTTAGAATACAATTATGCGTCGAGCCCGTGCTATTTAAGATACCATTCCTCCCTCCCAGCGAGATCCTGTCATTCTGGTGTTGATGGCTGTATTCTTCTGCCATGGAGGAAAGAGAACTGGAGCAGACAAACGTCTCTGGCATTTGTCTGACACACAGATAAAGACGTGGGTCTCCGCAGCCCCTCCGTAGTGGGAGAGCGTTTGCCGAACACCACCAGTGAAGTAGGCACAGGAAATGCAGCTGCTTGCAATACCGTTTCCGTCTAAGCAGGAGCCTTGCAGAGCTTTCTGTCTGTCTTTTATTAAAGGTCCACACACGTTCCTGTCGGGGAGGATCAAGTGCAGCACATGGAGCTGGTTCAGGATCTCGCTCGAGGGTTTAACAAGAAGTATGGGGAGTTCTTCCCAGAGCCCAAGTCCATTCTAAGTGAGTAACAAACATCTGTTTGGTAAATCGGAGCTTTTTTTTAATCCTTTAGTGTTTAAAAACATTTTTTAGTTATAGTTGACATGCTATATTTTATTAGCTCCAGGTACACAACTTAGTGATTGGACATGTATATGACTTACGAGTGATCACCTTGGTTAAGTCTAGCAATCAGGGCATGTTTTGAAGAAAGGATTGGATAACAGGCCAAAGCTTGGAACTTTCTTGGAACTCTACTTGGCTTTCTCATGGACAGGCTTCAGGATTTGTAACTAGATCCCCATCTTTTTCTGCCATGTAGGACTAGCAGACCTCACTGGATAACTGAATAAAATAATCAAAGAAGCTTGAAAAGTATGGGAGAGACTAAAAACTAAAAATAATCACTTTTAAGTATATTCTATGACTCACCATATATAAATATTTACATGTAAAATATGTACTTACATATAAAAATATATGTTTTATATGTATATAAAGTATCAATCATTTGGTAGAACAGGTACCTGTCCCTGTTTGATGGATAAGGAAGCTAAGGCTTTGCAGGGCTAACAGTGTGTCCAAGTCCTGTGTGTAGTTAGTAGCAAGGCTGGGCCCTGCATTGAGTTCCTCTGATTCCAGAACCAGTTCACCTCGCCTTCCCTGTCCACAATAAGACAAAAGCCATGTCATTGCGGACTGCTGGATCATAACCAGGTAAAACCAGAAGGTGCTGGGGACCCTCACACTGTGCACTCTTAAAATGCACAACCAAGGTGGAATGTTAAGTCCACCTACCGAATCCGAGACCTCAGCTGCGGCTGGCCCGGCTGTGCTAGTTTGGAATCTTCTTGAGGAAAGAAGCTATAAATCTCTACCGACATTTTTGTAGCTATGTAAACTTGTGGCAGGGCCAGAATCACGGAGCCTCAGCTCTGTCCATCTTTATTAAGCTGATAGCATTTTAAAGGAATAGAACACGTTCCCAGTACGAATTCAGAAACATAAGGCAGATATAAATTTCAAAGTTATTTCGACAGTTGCCACAGATGAATTCAGGGCACCCCATGCACCAAATTCAACCTTCTTTTAGCAATAAGTAACATTTCAGTGTTTTGGCCTATTATTATTTTACCTATTTCAACTTTATATGCTTCTATATTAGCCATAAAAGAGGCAGTTATTACTACCACTGGTTTATGAAGCACAGCTTAACATCTTGATTCTATCAGAGCAATAAACAAGCGTCTCTAGTGTGTGTGTGTTTGCACACACTTATGTAATCCTGAGTAAGGGTTGTATAAGTGTGTACCTTCTGAGTGTCAGTCCTTGGAAGGACTGACACAGATCATTAAAATTGGTCTGGGGACAGCAAGGGCAGTGGTTGTGGGTGGGGGGTGATTAGCTAGTAGGCAAGCACAGAGAGGAAAAGAGAGGGAGAGGAAAGAAATAGTCCCTTTTATCAAGGTGTGCACAGTAAAAGCAGCGTGATTGATATAGTTTATTTGTATAAGATTATACATTTTACGTGTACATGTGCACTCATAGTGCATAAAAATATGATCTACAAAATGTTAACATTAGTGCTACATATTTCAGATGACATTTACTTTCTCGCTTGTATAAATTGCTTGAATTTTGCACAGTGAGAGTTTAATTTTTATATCATCAGACAAAAGTAATAAAGTCATTTGGTATTGATTTTTTTAAAGATCTAGACGCTGACATTCCTAGTACTTTTTTTAATGTTGTCATTTTGTTTTGTTTTGTTTTGGGGACGTGTGTGTCGGTGTTTTCACCTAAGCATCAATGAAGAAGGTAAAATCCCTCCGAGACCCTTCTGCCAAAATGTCGAAATCAGACCCAGACAAACTGGCCACCGTCAGAATAACAGACAGCCCAGAGGAGATAGTGCAGAAATTCCGCAAGGCCGTGACGGACTTCACCTCGGAGGTCACCTACGACCCGGCCGGCCGGCCGGGCGTGTCCAACCTGGTCGCCATCCACTCCGCAGTGAGCGGGCTCCCGGTGCAGGAAGTGGTCCGCCAGAGCGCCGGGATCGACACGGCTCGCTACAAGCTGTTGGTGGCAGATGCTGTGATTGAGAAATTTGCTCCAATTAAGAGCGAACTTGAAAAACTGAAGTTGGACAAGGACCACATAGAGAAGGTTTTACAAGTTGGGTCAGCAAAAGCCAAGGAATTAGCGTATCCCGTGTGCCAGGAGGTGAAGAAGTTGGTGGGGCTTCTGTAGGGAGCTTCAACTAAGGACGAAAAGGCTTTTCTGTTCAGTGGCCTGGGCACTCCGATAAAGGCAGCTTTCCTTGCGAGCGAACAATCATAGTTTGGGGACATTGAACTTGGTGTACCTGATTTTGGCTTCATTCGATGAATAATGCTTTGTAGCCTTCAAACAGAGCAGTGTTCTAAATCCTATCAATACAACACTGTGGCCGGAAAACAAACAAACAAAGAGACCAAGAAGTTATATTATACCTTTCTGAATCCTCAATTTTGGAGGCAGACTCCTCGGCCTGAATCCATGTACACAGATGTGATGGAGGCGATCAGTGATTTGGCAAATGGGGGTATCAGTTGTGTGTCTCTCGAGCACACGTGGTCACCGGTGGTCACACTATCTGTCCCAACCCTGCTGCAGTGACATGCAGAGGTCTTAGACTTGTAACCCCTGGGATGCCATTGGACCAATTTGTAGTCAGATCTCATAAAAATAAGTTGATGATGATAGTTCATTTGTCACTGAGGCAGTGCCTGCTTTAATGGATTTAACCTGCTTGCTTCCCAAGAGATTACACCGATTGTTCCAGCAAGTTCTTTTTTTTTTTTTTAAATTCAGAGATGCAGGATATAATCTACTATTTCACTTTGATTTATTTGTGGTGCAAGAGCCTAGTCCCTTCCTAGATGATGTTCCTAATAAGTACTTCCTTGCATTTCTCTCTCAGCTTCACCTCACCCCCGTAAAATACATGGGAGAAAAATTCCCATTTTACACTGACGAGGGGGAGTCTCCGGGACTGCGCTACTTGCACAGTATCACTCGGGAAGTGAGAAGCAAATCCAAGGTCAAAACCTTTACCCCTTCCAGGAGCCTCCAACCATGATTATTTGGAAGGTGTGTCCTGGAAATACGCTCTTATAAGACCTGAAACTACTGATACTCTTTATATCAGCAGCTCAACCAACAGCTGCCTGCTTTGACTATGGTTTCAGCCAACCTTGGTCTCCTTTGCTCCTCAAAGTCCCGGAGGAGGCAAGTCCCAAGTTCTCACTCCTATACTTGCTGCACCTGCCCTTCAGAGTGTCTCCTGCCAGACCACAACAGTGGTCAGCAGCAGAAGCTGTGCGTCTCGCCTCCCCCTTGGTCTCTCTGAGTGACAGCAGGTCCCTCTGAAACTAGCTTCTCGGCACTTCTAGTCCCCACACCTGAAAATGGGAGTGGTAATCCCCACTTACCAGGGTCTACTAGCAAGATTGATTTTGTAAGAGAAATTGCTTCTAATTTTTTGCCAATGAATGTAATGGTTGTCATTTATACATAAGAGACTGACTAGTATATTGGGCAAAGAATTTTTTTTAAGATTTTATTTATTTATTTTTAGAGAGGGAAGGGAGGGAGAAAGAGAGAGAGAGAAACATCAATGTGCAGTTGCTGGGGGCCGTGGCCTGCAACCCAGGCATGTGCCCCGACTGGGAATCGAACCTGCGAAACTCTGGTTCGCATCCTGTGCTCAATGCACTGAGCTACGCCAGCCAGGACAGCAAAGAATTTTTTTAATCCTCGCCCACGGATATGTTCATTGATTTTTAGACAGAGGAAGGTTGATAGAGAGAAGGAGAGAGACATCAATGTGAGAGACATCGATTGGTTGCCTACCGTTACATGCCCTGAGCAGGTCTCGAACCCATAACCTCTTGGGGTAGAGGAATGATGCTCTAACTAACTGAGCCACCCAGCTAGGGCTAGGCAAAAATTTTTACTCAAGTTTCTTAAGAGACAAGAGTAGAGTGGTCCTTGTACTAACAGATATAAATCCACGGAACACTGCATCCCAGAATCCAAATTAAAAGACTCTTTTTTTATCTTTTCTTGGAATGGGTGTCAGTAGTCCTACTGCAAACCTCTTTGGGCATATTTCTTCCACAGCTCTTTTTTTTTCTTCAAAGGAACCCTGTTATGAGTAGTAGAAAATGTCAAAATTAAAGATGGATCTACCAAACCCATTGTCTGCGTGTTTGCTGTCTGTGTGTTTCTTTACCCCCTTGCAACACCTTTTCATCTGCAGAACTAAAGGCTCCCTGGGAGGAGGCCTCCCAGAGCAGCAAAGCCAGACGACTTGCGATAACTTCCGAGGAATAAAAGCCTATGCAGGTGGGTTGGGCTTGTGAGTATCCTGCTGCTGTTACTCTTTGAAAGTGACCCGAGGGCTGACGTCCAGATCGGCCCATAGTGACTGAGACGTGCCCCGCGATCTCAGGAAGTCGGTAAGAGCCCGGCTGGAACCTGGGTCCATCTTCCACCCCTTTCTTTCACTTACCACTTACAGGCCTCTGCACAGTCTCCACCAAGATGAAAAATCGGGAGCTTTCTGGCTTGTGACTCACTTAAAAAAGTGGTTTTCTTTGTTATTTTCTGTAGGTTTTGTGGAGACTTGGAATGATGATTAGTATTTTGGGTGGCAGTAATGAGTGGTGGCCTGGGTATCCCGGCGTTCTGCAGCTCCACCGACGGGCAAGCCCTACTTCAAAGCCACCTCGATGGACTATCACTCGTGGGGGGATCTCGCCCTTGGTAGGCACCTCATAAACATTTACCAAAATAAAGCTACAAAATGGGCCACAGATCCCCAACCAAGTGTGAGGTGTGTTTGTTTTTCTGAAACCTCTTGCCTCACACCACGTTGATGCTGACCATGAAACAACAGTATGTCAGTCATCAAACTAAATGTTGCATTACTGTCTTTCCAAGTGTGGTCCCCAGAGCAGCAGCGTGGGTACCCCCTGGGAAGTCACTAAGAATGGGAACCCTCCGGCTCTGCCCCAGACCTACCGAGTCAGACTTTGGGGATGAACTTCGAGATCTGTGTAGCAGCTTTCCAGACTTTGCTGGCGCATGCCAATCTTTGAGAACCACCGTGTTCTCCCATTTCCTCATACCCCAATAGTAAAGTGAGGCTGTTATCAGTCTGATGTTACTAAGAGTGAAAACAGGCACAGGAGGTTGAACAGTTTTCCTAAGACAGCTCAGCTTCTGAGAGGTGGAGTTGGGGCATCCGATCCGAGCCCCAGCAGGGCCACCATGCTCCCACAGTGTCTCCCCGTGGGTGTACTGTGATGCGCTCTGAGGGTGCACTGTCCAGTGTGGTGTGTGGCCACTTAAATTTAAGTTAGGGTTACCTCACTAAGTAGTCCACGTCCGCAGCAGCCGCTTCCAGTGCCCAGCACCCTCAGTGGCTAATGGCTAGTGTGGTGGCTGGTGCAGATGCGGGGTATTTCTGTAATCACAGAAGTGTCGGTCGGACACCGCCGCTTTGAGGCATTCAGCTCACAGGTGTTGCTTGTAATAGGTCTTCCCTCCACAGTTCTTCGGCCGGAGAATTCCTGAAGATAGTAAAAGGATTATTGAGAGTGACAGACCATATTGTTTCCCCAACAATACTTAGATAATAGGGGCTAGCGTGTATTCTGTATTTGCTATATGGTGAGCACGTTGTGTGTTTATGTGCCATATCTCATGTAATGGCTGTATCACCCTAAACTATTAGTGCTACCTTCTGAAATAAGTAACCGAAGGTTCAGCCTGAAGTCACACGTTTGTTAGTCTCTAGTTTCTCCTAGTTAGGACCTGGCGGGGATTCCCCTTAACCAGTGTGCCCATGGACGTGGCTGCCCCTCCAGGACTCGAGCAGGTGTTTCCCTCAGCACCTGCGACCCTCAGCTGTGTACCTAGCCCTGCCAGCTCCCTCCGTGCCTCCCTTCGTCCCCTCTCCTCCCTGCCTCAGTGCTCCGCCCATCGCCCGCCAGCAGCTCTTCATCTGTGCACACGGCCCAGCCTTCAGGCTGCTTTCTCCCGCGGCGGCCATGTGCCCCAGCTCACCCTGCTGAGTGCTGGTGCCTGCGTCACAGGCGGCTCTTGGTCTCTCCCCCTTTAACCCGACAACTCCGTCCTCACTGACTGTGTCTTCTCCCTGTGATCAATATTCTCTTCTCACTCTGTCAACCAGATGGGTCTTCTGAAATTTCCTAGGCTGGGAGGAGTCCATCCCTCCCTGAAACTGAGCTGAAGACAGATTGCCTCTCAGCAGCGTGACATTTGCACACACACCCACAGGCAGAACAACCTGGAGGCTTTCCTGTTGGTCATTTAAAGCCCTTGAGTGTGAACGTTCACAATCCTGTTATTCTTTCTGGCTAGGGATTATCCTCTGTCTCCAGGAAGGAAAGGTGTTCGGGGCCGTAGTGACTTCACCCTCAGGTATGTATCGATAATTCAGCATTATGGCAGTGTTTGCTTAGGGCCTATTTCATGAAAGGCACAGGGGTACTAAGATATGCCTGCCACTTAAAGTAAAGGAGGACACACAGCTAGCAAATGCTGGTGAGCATAAGAATGAGTGATGAACCAAGATGTTTAGGAAAGAAATACGGTAGAGGATGGGAGCAAGGGCCTTCCGATCGGAAACTAGGACATAGAGACATGAAAACGTTTAGGGAAAAGCAAATCCATGTAGTACGTAAGCAAAATGAGAATGGAAATATCAGATTGAACCATATGAAATTGTCAAGATTGGATTATTATCTTTTTACCAACAAAACCAGTAGCTCCACGAGGATCAACCTGATACACGTGTATCCAATGAACAAGCAAGAGCCTTGTTTTGCAGGCACCATCTAAGTGCCGAGAATCAGAAATGAGCCACAGCCTCCACCCTCAGCCTCCTTGTCTTTGTAAAAATGAATCTGGAAAGCCAGTGAGGGGTAGAATAGGAACTAGAACCAAAACTTTCTGAGTCTTGTCACTCTCCTGGGTACATCAACTGTGGCATTAGTTCTTAATTACTTAGAATATGGCTTCCCAATGGTATGCTCACTTAATGGTTCTCAAATAAATAGAATATTTAATAATTGATATAATCGTATTAGCTGTAAGGAATGCAAATTTGTCTTTTTTTTATATATATATCCCATCCCCACATACATACACAGTAAGCCAGGGCAACAGTCATCATTTTCTAAAAGTGTTTCTGAGCCCTGGCTGGTGTGGCTCAGTGGATTGAGTGCTGACCTATGAACCAAAGGGTTGCTGGTTTGATTCCCAGTCAGGGCACATGCCTGGGTTGCGGGCTGGGTCCCCAGTGAGAGGCCCATAAGAGGCAACCACACATTGATGTTTCTCTCCCTCTCTTTCTCCCTCCCTTCCCCTCTCTCTAAAAATAAGTGAAATCTTTAAAAAAAAAAGAAATAAATACAATAAAAGTGTTTCTGAAAAGCAAATAATATGATTATATGACTATTTAGAATAAATAGTTATTTAGAATAAACTGGTCTGATTTTATATAGTCACTGCCTTACTCATCACATCCACCTTAATCCCTTTGCAAGTAAGATTTAAAATACAGACCGCTCCTATCTGTGAATGCAAGGACGAAGAAGCGAGAGGCATTGAACACTGGATCCCACACTAGTCTGGCCACAGGGAAGCCCACTGAGAAGAGCTGTCAGTTCAAACAGCTGTCAGAGAGTTCCCTGAGTTTGCAGGAACCTCCCCCCCAGAAAGAGGAGCTCCCAGGATGATCAAAGAAGACAGCACACTGTGGCTTATCTGGACGTGGG